CTTAATAAAAGGTTTTATTTATTTATTTTTTTTTTTAATTAATTTTTTTTTTCAACGTTTATTTATTTTTGGGACAGAGAGAGACAGAGCATGAACGGGCGAGGGGCAGAGAGAGAGGGAGACACAGAATCGGAAACAGGCTCCAGGCTCTGAGCCATCAGCCCAGAGCCCAACGCGGGGCTCGAACTCACGGACCGTGAGATCGTGACCTGATTGAAGTCGGACGCTTAACCGACTGCGCCACCCAGGCGCCCCCCTTAATAAAAGGTTTTAAAAAGACAGGAGTCTCCTTCAGAAAACTGCACTCAGAGATAAGTTATGCTACTAGACAGGCTACGTGCCCAAACGCTCATATATAAAGGACACACTCTGGGGGCACTGGGTGGTTCAGCTGGTTAAGCGTCCAGCTTCGGCTCAGGTCATGATCTACTGGTCTGTGAGTCCCACTCTGTGCTGACGGCTGGGAGCCTGGAGCCTGTTCCAGATTCTGTGTCTCCCTCTCTCCCTGACCCTCCCCCACTCACACTCTGCCTCTCTCGCTCAAAAACAAATAAACATTAAAAGAATTCAATAAAAAAGAAGGGACACGCTGTCATATGTGACTATGGAATAAACAAAGTAAATACGTCACTTTATGAGCTTAGCTATGTGGCTAGGGAAGCAGCTAACGGAAGCACTGGGGTAACTTCTGTAACGGAAGGATCCAGAGTTTCCCTTTGACTTCTACCTCTTCCGGCAGTGATTTCCCTGCCAGCCCAGCCTCCCATCTCCAAGAGCCAGCTCGGTCTGCAAGGATAGAATGGTTTCTGTCTTCAGCTGAGGTAAACCCTGCTCCATAGCCTGGAGCCACTCAAGGGCTGCGACCCCTCAGTGTGATCACGTGATTCCAGGGATGGGACGGGTGGTTTTCCTTGTGTTTTTTTGTTTGTTTGTTTGTTTGTTTGTTTTGTTTTTGTTTTTGTTTCTGTCTGCTTTCCAAAAGTCCTTCTCTAGGAACATCCACAGGGCTGCGGAGGGAAGACGATCCTATCCAAGGCACGCAAACCATGGCGGCCGCCCCACCAGCCAAAGGGTCCGTTAGAAACCTATTTTCTCAAAGTCTATCTCTGCTAGGCTTTGGAGAGACAGCAGCATTTAACAGATGCATTTAACAGATGAGAGGACTCTCAAAGAGGGAGGGGACATGATTAGCCCAGGCGAAGCACTCTTCCGGCAGGAGGAAAACTAAGACGGAAACTCTAGCTTGAGGGGATGAGCTAAGAATGAACAGCCAGGCCCGCCTTCACATCTTGAACATCCTCTGCCAAACAGACTACCAGCTGGAGACCAAGGGCATGATTATGAGCCTAATTTGATCATTGCTCCTAGGGCTAATACACACATGCGATAACACACTTTTCTTCAGCAGGTCAGTAGTGAGGCTGGCTAATTTGGGAAAGAGGAGGCAGTTAACTGGGAGGTCAACCATTGCCACTGCTCTCTTTTATGTTTACATGGTAGGCGCTGAGGTCACGATGCTGCGTCTTCTGTTCTAAATGAGCACAGTTTGCACTGAAAGGGTTTCCATTTTCGATTTCCGTAGCGGATGTAGGCCACGCATGCACGTTGCTCACAACCCAGACGTGGCTTATGAGCCTGTAATGGGTATTCCTGGGGCCCCACCCAAACCTACCCAGATGCCAGTCCCTGTGCCTGTGCACCCAGCCCCCTGAGCCGCTGGTGGCCTGAAGAGCCTGCAAGATGACCTCCCCTGGGGCAGCCTGTGCTTTTGACGCACTGCCGTTGGGCGTGTGCCAGTCCAGTCACTTGCCCGAACAGGGACAGATTCTGAGCTGGTCATTTATGCTCTAGGGCGGTGCTGTCCAATACAACTTTCTATAATGACGGAGATGTTAATTTGTGCTGTCCAAAATAGTAGCCACCAGCCACAACTGCTGAGGGCCTGAAATGTATTAGTGTGACTGAGGAACTGAATTTTTAAAATCCTGAATGCACACATGCATGAATAAAAAAGCGGCCTCCGGGGGCGCCTGGGTGCCTCAGTTGATTAAGTGTCTGACTTCGGCTCAGGTCATGATCTTGCAGTCCGTGAGTTCGAGTCCCTCATCGGGCTCTGTGCTGACAGCTCAGAGCCTGGAGTCTGCTTCAGATTCTGTGTCTCCCTCTCTCTCTGCCCCTCCCCCACTCATGCTCTTTCTCTCTCTCTCTCTCTCTCAAAAATAATAAATAAACATTTAAAAAAATCTTTAAAAAATAAACAATAAAAAAAAGCAGCCTCCATTAATCAGAATGCCTTCAAACTATGAGAAGAAAGCTATGAATTAGGGCAAGTTTTACTTCCAATTTGCCTGAGAGTTACCTAGAAATTTTACTTAAACTTTTGTTCCTGAAAATCATTATTTTTTTTAGTTTATTTATTTTGAGAGATGGGAGGGGAGGGGCAGAGAGAGAGGAAGAGAGAGAATCCCAAGCAGGCTCAGCACTGCCAGTGCAGAGCCCAATGTGGGGCTGGATCTCCCAAACTGTGAGATCATGGCCTGAGCTAAAATCAAGAGTCAAACACATTATTAACCCACTGAGCTACCCAGCCGTCCCTTTCCTGAAAATCATTCTAAGAGGATGAATCCAACTTCTCTTCTTAGAATCTGGAATACAGAGACTATCGTCTAATCTTTCTTTGGTTCTAGTTGTGAGAATGCCTCAGAATCTGAACATCAGTGCCCATGGGTGAGGTCTGAGGACGTAAACTGTGGAAAAGTGAATTTAAATGGATCCCAAGACACAGCCTGAAATCTCCATTGGAACAGGAACATTTTAGGATGTTTGGGTTCTGATTATTGAGGTTTTTTGTAAATATCAATAATACTTTAATAGCTATCCTACCAAAGATTTTGAGGCTTAGGATACTCAAAAATTAAATTACTATTTTATTTTATTTATTAATATCTAAGTGATCTAGGCTTGGTCCCTGGTCCACGAAGGCCTCCTCTATTCACCTCTGGGGCCGATGATCACCTTCTTCAGGCCATACCTGCTGCTCTCCATAATCACCATAAGTGGAAGAAAAAGGGCTTTTAAGGAGTTTCAGCCCCATTCACCAATGCCATTTTAATCTTCTGTCCCCTCTTGTTCTGCCCCTGGGTCTCCTTCTCTTCCCTGCACCTGAGCCTGGGCTATAACCTGTTTGGCACCTCAGTCCCTTGAGAATGGAGAACCCATCTTGTATGTATCTCTTGCTCAGAACAGATGCTCCTAAAACCTCAGTCCACTATGCTCTTTGTCTGTTGGACCAAACTCTTTTCAGAATTTGTCCCACCTTGTTCAATAATTCATTCAGCAGACATTTTACGGCCCAATATTGCCCAGGCACTATACCAGGGAAGCCGTAAACATTAGGTTAGCATACTTACCTTCTAGATAAAGAAAGAGAGGTATAGGAGTGATGAAAACTGTGTCCATTATCACAAAGCACATACAGAAAGAGCTGGCAACAGGCACCAGGTCTGGGAGTTGTCAACTACTTGAAGGCAAGACTCAGGTTTGATGTGCTTTTGTGCTCAGGATACAGACTTTCAACAAAGGGATAAACACCTGATGCATTAAGATAATATGTCACATGGACAGGGGCACCTGGTGTCTTAGTCGGTTAAGTGTTCGTCTCTTACTTTCAGCTGAAGTCATGATCTCATGGTTGATGAGATCAAGCCCTGTGTTGGGCTCTGCACGGACAGCGTGGAGCCTGCCTGCAATTCTCTCTCTCCCTCTCTCTCTGCCCCTCCTGTGCGCAAAAATAAATAAATAAACTTTATTAAAAAAATTTTTTTCTGTGTGTTCCAGTACCACCGTATTTATGGACTTGGAAACTTGAATTTTACATAATTTTCACATGTCATGAAATATTTGTGTTCTTTTGCTTTTAAAAAACCATTTAAGGGGCGCCTGGGTGGCTCAGTCTGTTTAGCGTCCGACTTTGGCTCAGGTCATGATCTCGCGGTCAGTGAGTTCAAGCCCTGCATCACGCTCTGTGCTGACTGCTCAGAGCCTGGAGCCTGTTTCAGATTCTGTGTCTCCCTCTCTCTCTGACCCTCCCCCATTCATGCTCTGTCTCTCTCTGTCTCAAAAATAAATAAACGTTAAAAAAATTAAAAAAAAAATAAATAAAATAAATAAAAATAAATAAAAAAACCATTTAAAAATGTAAAAAACATTCTTAGGTGATGAACTATAAAAAAATAAATAAACTTTAAAAAAATTTCACATTGGGGCACCTGGGTGGCTCAGTCGGTTAAGCATCTGACTTCGTCAGGTCACGATCTAGCGGTTCATGGGTTCGAGCCCCGCATCGGGCTCTGCGCTGACAGCTCAGAGCCTGAAGCCTGCTTCAGATTCTGTGTCTCCCTTTGTCTTTGCCCCTCCCTTGCTCATGATCTGTCTTTGTCTCTCAAAAATAATAAAAAATAAATGTAAAAAAAAGGTCACATGAACAATAGCTGTGCACGGAAGGTCCTAAGAGACAGACACACGCCTAGCAGCCCCACATGCATAGGAAGCACCATACTACTGAGGAAGAACTTGCTATGGGGTCTGTCATGCCGAGAAAACTTTAAAAAGCACAACAGGACATCCCATGACAATCTCTGTGCCACCGAGCGAAGGATGATTCTCCCTAAACTTCAAGATTGTAAACACATGTGCACAGTTCACCTCAAAAAGAATGGGGTGGAGACCCCCCAGGAAGGTGACTAGGCTGGGACCTTCTCACAGATGTCATTGCTCCTTCAGGATGGATAAAGCAGTTTGTTCTTTGTCTCTGTGTTGCCCCAGGTTTGGCCATAAACGATAATCAATCTACTGGATAAAAACGTGCGGCTCTACTCTGCAGGAGCCCTCAGTTCCTGATGCAACAGGAAGCAGGAATACAACGTGTTGAAATCATTGTAATTGACTAGAAAAGCTTCAAGCTGCAAACACATCAGATTCAAAGACAAGGTCATGGCTACCTGGTGGCAAGAAGAGGGTACGTGTGAACTGGGCTGAACCAGGCTTCCTTCCTCCGTGGCATGCTGTCATAGATTAAAAGGTCCTTCTCGGTCAGTACGACCAGGGCCGGCTTCCACTGTTTCTCACTCTCCCCGGGCACCTGAAATGGAAAGCAGGGCATCGTCAAACAACAGGTGAAGGAAGAGTGACTAGAAAGGAGAAGCTGGCATCCCCCCAATCAGAAGACCCAACGGTAGGAGTCCTTAGTTCAGGTTGTGAAATCCAAATGAGAAGAAACCATTCACGGCCGCAGGACTCTTGATCCTCGAAACTGTGTTTCTCAAGGGCCCCGGTATGTGTCGTCAGTGCAGCCAAGAAGCAGCCCAACTGTCAGACATCTGTCTCTGTTTCTCACCTGCCAGTCAGCACTGAAATCATTATTTCATAGTGGCATGCAGATGCTTGGGGGAATAAGCACGCCCAGATGGCTCGCTGGTAGAGTACATTGTTTTTATTATAAGATGGTAAGGTTTGAAAGCTTTTGAAGAATATCCAAAGGCTCTGAAAATGTATTATGGAGGCAAATGTCTGTCTGGAGAGGTAGGAGACATCACAGCCTTTCGCTTTGACTGTTTCTGTGATTCGGGCACCATCTTAAAATTCTCTTAGTTCCACTCAGCACAGAAAGTTCCTTAACCCAGAGGGATGAAATGACCTGGCAGGGATACGAGAGGATTAAAACATCAGTTGGATGTTTGGACCAGGTGACCCTTAAGGTCCCTTCCAATCCCGAGAGTCAGTTAGCTCAGGTCTTATCCCACGAGCCACCCCTCTCTGCCCAAACTCTGATGTGCTGATGTGTGATATGATGATGTGTTGATCATTCCCAATTCTGCATGTGTTCTTTCATCTGTGAAAATTCCCCCCTTCCAATTTAAACGTTGGGTCTTGGGATACATCTTGATGCTCAGTTTGGAACAACTCAGTGTGCTAGCCTTGGTACTCAAAGCATGGATCATGTTCCAGTAGCATCAGCATCACATGAGAGCTCGCAAGAAATGCAGAGTTCCAGGCTCATCTTAGACCAACAGAATCAAAATCTGCATTTTAACAAGATCTTCGGGTGACACGTATGCTCATTAAGGATTAAGAACCAGTGCTCTAGATGAGGTTAAGGTTTTCTTTGACACTGGTAATTCAGTGAAGATTCAACCCTTTCATAATAAACCATAATCCAAAATCTATTCAAAATTAAATGAGGCAGTAAGATAAATAAATGATAAAACTAATTTCTTCCCTTTCTATTTTTATCGTTACCTTTTTGTAAGTGCCACAATGACATCTGTATTGAAGTGGCTTTAAGATTGAATGATCACAGTAGAGAAGGTGGGCAAGATTGTGGAAGGGGTGAGCTTTGTAGGTCATGTACTTTTATGGGCTGCTTGACTCTGAGTCCCTGCTCCATTATTTATTGCCCCTGTGACTTTGGGCAAGTTATTATTCCCTATGCGTCTATTTCCTTACTGATAAAATTGCACAGACAATGGTTAAGAGTGTTTTCTCTGGAGCTAGAGCGCCTGAACATAAATTACAGCTCCTCAATTCACCAGCTGTGGGATCTTGGGCAAGTCAGCAAATCTCTTTGTATCTGTTTCTGTATCTGTAAAATGGGGAAATAATAGGACCTATACCAGAGGATTATTGTGAAGATTGGGTTAAAATGTCTAAAATGCTGATCACAGTGCACCATAAGCATCATTTAGAGCCTGTTAAGTGGCATATACCTCATAATGCTACAGTGGAGACTAAATGAGACTGTGCACAGGGCACCTCGCTGGTTCAGTCAGTAGAGCATGCAAGTCTTAGTCCCAGAATTGTAAATTCAAACCCCAAATTGGGTGAGGAACCTACTTTAAAAGAATTTTTTTTAAGATAAATGAGACAGTGTACATAATGTGCTTAGCATAATATCTGGCAGATGGTAAGACCCTCCAGCGAAATTTAGGGTGGGAAAATTGTAGCAGACTCACTGAATTCTAAACTTGTCAAAAAGGTATTCATTGGAAAGACAACAGTATGACAAAGTACTGGTTTTCCTTGAAAAAAATTATAAGGCAAGCCAAGAATATCCTTGGTGTTAACAATTTCAATTCATTCTTTTCCCATCCATTCCAAAGTTGTCCCAGGAAGAATTCATTACAAAATGATCATGCACCCCTTACAGCAATTCCAAATAAAATCTCCCTTTCAAGAAGGAAGAAATCCTCAAAAAGCTATTTAGACTAGAATGTGAATGACTACCTGGCATATTTCTCCCATTATGCATTTCATACATATATAAAAAAAAATATCCAGGGTTAGCCTATTGCTTTTTCCAACAACAATAGCACCTTTAAGAGATCAAAATGAACTGATACAGAAAACAAGGTATTAGTAACCCGCAAGGTGACCACACTATAGTCTCAAAGCATAAAGTGTTTGGGAGTTTGGAGTAAATTTTTTCCAGCCTCTACATTAAACTTAGCAAATTACTTTTCCAGTTCATTAAATAGGACTGGAAAAGCTACAAATGATCCTCCCCAAAGTGCCTATCTTCCTTACCTAGTCAGATCTGATCCATTAACTTTGACTGGAACCATTTAAATGTGAATACAACTAAGCATCATTCTTCAAGAACAATATTAAGTTTGCAAAAATAAACCTTACCAGTGAATGCCAACAGTAAAATACAGAAATTTCTAATGGTGGAGTCACAAACTCACCCACATGTCAAATGGTATATATATGTATGAATAATTCTAAAGCCCTAAAACACAAAATGGTTTATTAAAGAGTGCTTCATGGATTTGTTAACTGTGCTGTAAGAATACTCAGAGTGGATGTTTTCCACTGTTCCTGTGCGCAGAGCTTTCATTTTAATGCTATCTGAATGCTTGAAGCTAGAAATCGGCCCATGAGGACAACAGGCTTCCAAGGAGAAAAATGTTATGTTGAATACAGGTTTCTAAAACCATACTTTATGCCACGTGAACTTCGCATTTGCAAAGCCTTTCAAGAACACTTTTCTTCAGGCTGGAGTATTTGTGCTGTTGTTCAGTGACAACTTCCATTATAAATCCAAATTTCCTGGCACCCAAATTTTCCCCAGCATTAATTCAACAGTTCTGGGACACGTCTACATTTTATTAAAACGTGGCTCCTGAAACAGATGTGACAACTTCCATCTCGATCCCGGCTTCCTGCCATGAGATGCGGCAGCAATCAGTGTCTCAAGAACTGATCATGTTTCTCATGAAGAAGGCAAAGGGGAAGAAACGGAAACAGACACACAATCCTGAAATTACTCTGAAGCACATCTGTGGTGAACTGAATCCTGTCCCCATGGTCACTTCTGTGGAGCATGAGAGAAAATGTTGACAAAATGGCAAGAAGAATTTGAGAGAGTGGAAAGAAGTCTCTGCTAACAACTGAGGGAAGTAGAAATAAATGTATGAAATGAACATGTTGTATATCTTAAACCCAGGCAATGTTACATGTCAATTCTATCTCAATCAAAAACACCTGAGGGAGGAACAGTCACTGAATCCTCTGTTGGAGACAGGTTTCCTACGTCATTGAGGTCAGGAGGAACTTTCAAACTTTTAAAATTCATTGGACACATCACATCATTCATTCATTGTGATCACATCACAAGTCACGGAACAAAATGGGGTTCTGGATGGGGTTCCAGCCTGGTTGAGATCTGAGACTTTATGTCTTTATCCTTCCATCACCCACACCTTTGAGTGAGGTTCCTAGCAACCACTGGGACACAGTTAGAAGACTGCTGACCGTGTTTCCTCTAAAATATCTAAAATCTGAAGATTATTTTCAAAGAGACAGTTTGACCAAAACCTTTCAGTGCCTTTTTTGCAGGTATTTCCAGAAGAAATAATACTGTTGCTTAGGCAAAGCTGTAATGATGAAATTAATGAATGCATATTGAGTGCTTAGAAAAGTGTCTTACATACAGTAAGCAAGCAAACCTTTAAAAATATTAGCTATTCTAATTCCAAGAAATACATGCACCCCATGTTTACTGCAGTATTATTTACAACATACAAGATATGGAAGCAGCCTAGGTGTCCACTGACAGATGAATGGATACAGAAGATGTAGTGTGTTTACACAATGGAATATTACTCAGCCATAGAAAGGGATGGGATCTTGTCATTGGTGACAACATGGATGGACCTAAAGAGCATAATATGATAAGTGAAATAAGTGATATGGAGAAAGACAAATAATATAAGAGTTCACTGATATGTGGAATCTAATACGACAAAACTCATCAAAGAATAGAAACATTCAAATACAGACTGGTGGTTGTCAGATAAGAGGGGGATGGAAGGATGGGTGAAATAGGTAGAGAGGAGTCAAAGGGAAAAACTTGCAGCTATAATATAAACAAGTCACAGGGATTCAAGTATAGCATAGGGAATATATCCAATAATATTGTAATAACTTTGTATGGTGACTGGCGGTAACTACACTCACCATGGTGATCATTTCGTAATTTATATAATTGTTGAATCACTATGTTCTACATCTAAAAGTAATATAATATTGTATGTCCACTATATGTTGATTAAAAGAAAATATCAGATATTCTGATCGCCACATCAAGTAAGAATAAACGAATATCAAACAAAAGACGTAAGTAAACTTGGGCAAGAATTCCTTGCCTTCACGGGTCTAATGTCCTCCCTGGTGGGAGAATCAGCTAAGACAAAGTTATTGCTAACAGCCCCTCCAACATGAAAATCAGATCATCTTTTTCAGTTCAAAATTCCTGGCTACTAGGCTGGGACCGCTTTAGTTACTAGGACCCTTGCTTTATGCATCTCCTTTGTTCCGCGGGCTCTGTTCACAGGGGCAACAAACAATGTATGGGTCTTTTTTTCTCTGCTTGTGCCAAGTCACTCTTCCTAACATGCTTATTTTCTAACTCCTACTTGAACACAGGGGTGGCAGGGACAGCTCAGAGGCTTTGGAGCCAAACGGCAATGTCTTCAAAATCTGGCTTTGCCACTTCTCAGCTGAGGGATTTGAACTGCTATAAGCATTTGTTCACTGATGTGTAACATGCCGATCGTGGCCTCCTGTGCATATTTTATGAGG